TATTTTACGATTTTTAGGGAAAAAGGGAAATTTTAGCCTCCAGTAATGACAAGTTCGAGACAAGTCCCAAGTTATCAGACAAGTGGTCTTGAGATCGGACTCTCATACTACAGCTCTGTTCAGTATACATTATGCTGACAATAATTTGCAAATCTGCTACAGTACACAATGGCAGCCAGTGTGCGCAAAAAGAGACAATTGCAATAGTTAAATTGTAGGTTATTAAATTTGGTGGCCTCTGCAAACAAGAGAAGTCTTTTGAGGGACTGCTGCTGTATGTAGTGTTCCTTTTCTTGGTCTCAGGTTTCCTTAGAAACAATGGACCATTGTAGCTGCCCCAGACAGCAAAGGACAGACAGCTCTGCAAAAATCATCTGCTAACCAGCAGATCTCTTCCACATTTGTGATGCAAAGTAAACTTTTTAAATAGTAGGTAGCAGGTATACCAGAGCCCTTGAGGCTTGTCACAGAGTTTATCCGTAACTCTTTTGGATTGTGAGAGTTTCTTTTTATTCTCTATTACCTTCTTGTGTATTTATAAGTCTCATAATGCATCAATTCTCTGTAGTTCTGTGAAAAGATGGGTTGAATTATTCATAAGTGACGTCATTGTCAACAATTTATGTTAAGATAATCTGCTCGTTGTGAAATTTTCCAGAGTTGTTGAAATGCTCAGCAGATCATGTTTAGAGATGATGTGACATTGAAAGTTGTCATTCTGACTCCTATTAAAAGCAAAGTGTTGGCAGTTCGAGGAAATATAGCTCTCTGACGCGGGTCCGAACAAACATGATAGCCTCAAATTTACTTGGATCAAAAAAGAGCTTTCAGTACCAGATGTTCTAAGGTCTCACATCTGGAGAACATCTGGCCTGTTTTGAGGAGGCTCTTCTAAAATTGTACAAAAGGACTTGGGGGTAGGAGAGAGAAAACACCATTCTCATAGACTCTCCCAGGAACACTTTGTTTAGAAACTGACTGAGCTACAGACAATGAAGCAATTTTGTAAACAAAATTGGCTTTTCCAAACTAAACTGTAATCTTGTATAGTTTAAACATTTATTGGAGTATAAAGTTTTGTTGCTGTTTGTAGAGATGCATCAATTATTTCTTGCAGTTGTGAGAGGAGATTTGGTACAAACAACATGCGCTAATACACAAACCTTTAAACTGTGATTCAAAAACTTGTGTACAGCTTGGAAGAAGAGGCAAACTAAAACACAGCTCAAGTCTTTCATACTCAACCAACTGGAAGAAATCTTCATAGACTGAGCATTTCACTAACCATATACAGTAGTCCTTAATCCCTGATAAAGACACACTAAAACCTTAAAATTTGACATTTCCACAATTTAGATTTGTACCATATGTCAACAGATCATCTTCCATAATACAAAAACAACAATTTACTCTAAATCCTGAATATTCTCTGATCAAACTCTAGTCTGTTTTTATAAAATCATAGAAAATACATTAAAAAAAAAGATTTTAGATTATAGCGAGTCCCTGCTTATGTGTTTACAAGTCTATTCAATAACCAATAAAGCAAAACTGATGTAAACCTGGGGAAAACAGTTGAGCAGCTCTCTAAAGAAAGAAGAGTATCAACTGGCATGATGTACAACTAGAGTAAGTGGAGTACACAGTGTTTGTGTTCGAGACAGGAAAACTCGAGGAGACATCTTCCATACACCGCACATCAAAGTGCAGATATTTGATCTGGAATACAGGCGGCCTCAGCAGAGCTGCTGGAAAAGACACTCCCCTATTTATAAACAGGGGTTGTCTGACCGAGACAAGTTGCAGAAGGAGTGAAGCAGAGCGAGAGAGTGTGGGTGGACGGTTGGGGGTGGGGAGTCCGTCACCAGCTAGGAGAGTTGAGCCGAGAGTGGGGGCTCACATTTCACTCAGGTGACCGCTGTTGTCCTTAGAGATATATCAACTCAGGGGGAAAGTTATTTATTTATCTTTTCAGATTTTGTTTCTCCTTCTCACTTATTTAGAACACTGGGATCATATAGTTGGGGATGATTGGCCTAAGCAAATCGCAGCCGACCCACGGATGCCGATGTCCCACTCCCTTTAAAAGCGTTTTGGTATGAATGGAGCCATGGCGCTGTGATGGTGCCTCTTTTGTGTCAATGGAGTTAAATGGCAGCCATGTGGAGATGACTAGAAGAGGGCCCAAGAGAAACTCCGGCCCTCCCTTTGTCCTGGCAGTGAAACAGTGATCTTTATTCAGACCGCAGGCCTGTTGAGACTCATGTGAGCCTTCCCAAAATAGACAAATGGTTGACATGAAGTTTAAAGATGGCGGTGAGAGAGGGCAGCGTCTTTCTTAAGAGTTTACCATGTTCTTCACATCTGAAATGTTCAGCTCTTGTCAGGGAAGGAGTGTGGTGTAAATTATAATCAGTGATAATCGATGATTGATCTAGTGTAACAGTGTTTAACAGTGTTTATTTCTCTTGAATAGTGATTACTGCTGAAATAATTAGTAAATCACTTGAGTTCTCAGTTGTCTGTTGTTGTAAATTTGGTTTTTAAACTGTTTAAATTTTAAAATGATCACCTTAGGCTCTGGGAATTTGTGTACAAAAAATGAGCAAAATTGATCGTCATAGCCCTAACGGAAATAGGAGTGTGATACGAACAATCTCCTGCAAAAACCTCTATTTTTTCTGCTTTAACATATAAAACAAAAACCTTAAGCTGAGAGAGTACTGGGAGAATGTCAACAAAGTCTGTTGACCTTTCCTCCTCTTTCTTCCAGCGGTTTGCAGTGGCCTTTGATTTATGACAGCAGGGGCAGGGAGGTTGGGTCACCTTGCTTGGTGCTGGGATGGGGGCAGGGCTGGTCTCCAGGGCTGGGTCATAAACTAATGAAGGTTTCTAATTTAGACACACCGGTAAACTAGGAGGGGTAATCACTGTTTCCGGGCGCTTATTAAATGCAGCTTTCAATGAGCTTTTAGTCCGTGGGAAGTCAGCCCTAAGCAGAGGAAAGCTTTGGGGGAGTAGCTATTGTCTGCCCTCAGGGGCAGGTAGAGCTATGTGTTGATGGACACTTTTGTCTTTTCCCAATTGGATTTTAAACTGTTTTGATGAGCCTGGTTTCCCACAACCAGAATGGTTGACTTGTGTCTTTCCACATCTAACTTAACAGTGATTTTACATAGTCAATGTAGTTGTGAACAGAGTTTTAATTTTTACCTTTTGTTTTGTATTATAGACTATTACTAATTTCGTTTCCTGTGTTTTTACACTGTAAAGCTGCACACTCTTGGTTAACAAGGAACATTAAACAGACTGATAGTGTACACTGAAGCTAGAATAGCTATCTGGGGTTTCCTGAACATCTGTTGTACTGAATAGTCAAAGAAACCCCCTATTAAAGCAGGAAAGATCAAAGTCTTACTTGGACCTTACGCTTTCATTTTATGCAGTCAATATCTGTGTAGTGCTGATTTGCTGATGAGATTATGTTTGGATTTACAGCAGACGATTGTACCTCCACAGTAATAATAAGCTTGTGTAAAACAGAAATGGTTGGTACTTGTTTTAAAATTCCCAACATTTTCCGATTGTGCAAAGAAAAACTACAATTGCAGTATTTTATTTTTGTCCCTTTTTAAACAT